AAAGAAGGGTCTGTCAGGACCCAGGAGCCCCTTCTCTCCCTGAGTCACTGGGAGCTGGGAGGGCTGCCCGCTGGCCTCAGCCCGGCTGAAGCAGTTGCTCTGTCCAGAGCACAGGTGTTGGCGGCACAGGTCAGTGCTCTGGAGAAAAGGCCCGGCCCAGGGCGCCTCTGCTGTGACCCTGGAGCTCCTCTTGCTTTGCCCCAAGCAGCCCTTTGCCTTGAGCCCAGTTCCTTGCCTCCTCTGGCCCTGGGGAAGTTTGTCTGGGGGGTCCCTGAGGGCGGAGTGAACAGAACCCCTGCTCCAGTCCCCTAAGCCTCTTGCTTTGTAACTTCTCAGGCCTGAAAGCTAGAAGCAGGTTGACCTTTGACCCTTTCTGGAATTCCAGGGCCCTGGGGGGCCCCCCTTTGACAAACTCCTACCACTTCCTCCATGACCTAAGCACAGAGGCAGCTGCCTTTGCCTCTGGCCTGGATCTGCTGCTCCTCCCTGCCCAGGGGCCGCCCCCAGCTGCCTTCCCCCACTTTGTCTGCCCCGGGCCCGGGAGTCTGACTGTGGCCTGGAGCTCTGCTCCCTCACGCAGCTTAGCTCCCCATCCTTCCATCCCCTTTCAGGCCTTGTGGACCATCCCCCACTCTGAGACACACACCCTGCTCTGACACACACAGACACCCCTCTGAAACACACACACACACACACACACACACAACTGGCAGAGGCCCCCTCATCTCTCTGCTGCTGGCTCTTGAGGTCAGGGACCCCGGGCCAGCCCTGGCCTTTGTTCCTCTGAGGTAGCAGGAGGAGGGGACAGTAACAGGATGGACCCTCGCCCTCTCTGAGGCCAGAACCCTGTTCCAGCCCAGCCAGGAGGTGTACATCCTGCCGGTCTGTGCAGCCGGAGTTCTGAGAGGAGGCCCCCTCCCTCGCATGCATGGGGCTGCCGCCTGTGCGGTGGGCTGGGGTGGGGGGTGTGGGCGGGTCCCGCGTGGCGCGGCCACAGCACCTGGGCCAGAGGGCAGGCCCGGGGCCCGTCTGCCTGGGGACCAGGCCCTGCTGCTCCCGTCTCCCTTCCTCTGCCGAGGCCCTGGCCCGACTGACTTCAGGGAGCCATCCCCCTGCCCGGTGCACTTGTTTTCTGTCCGAGTACGGGGCTGCTGGGAACTGCCCTGCGGTGGGGGGAGCGGGGGGCTGTCAGCCGGTTCCTCCTGCCTCACTCTGAAGTGCCAGGATGCCGTTTTCAGCCTGGAGAACTGAAAAGTGGGAAAACGGGCCTGGGGCCCGTCTCAGCTGGTGTCCCAGGGTGTCCCCATGCCTCTTCTCCAGGGCGGGCCCTGGGCAAGGGGTCCCTGTGGTCTGGAGGGTTCTTTTCCCCTCTGGGCCCCAGCTTGTCCCTCTGGGCCTAGTGGTGTCACTTGGCTGCCCCTCTTCTTGGCTGCTGCCTCGTGGGGTTGGGCTGCCTTCTCCCCCCATCTCCTCCCTCCCTCTCACTCTCCTGTCCTCACCAGGGCCTGGCCTGATGGTCATGGAGTTGGGGGGCTTTGGGTGGGAAGGGCTGGTCAGGAACGGGTGGGAAGCTCTGTTCTTCCCCAAAGGCTTGGGGACTGCTCTGGAGCCGGGCCACTTCCCGGGCCCCGGGCGGACACTTGTAACCACACTGCTCTGGGCCTCAGGAGCTGTCCGGGGGTCCGTCCGAGGGTCCGTCCAAGGCCTGAGCAGCCGGGCGGGCCTTGGCAGGGCGCCATGCAGCCCTCACCTGGTCTGTCTGCCCCGTCTCCTCACAGTGCCTGGAGAAGTTCCCCGTGATCCAGCACTTCAAGTTCGGGAGCCTGCTGCCCATCCATCCCGTCACGTCGTCATGCTGAGAGTGGCCCGTCCCGGCTGCCGCTCCCATGCCTGCCCTCCCCGACTCCAGCTGCCGCCCCCTCCCCACCCCCTCCCCTTGTTCTTTCTGTTTGATGAGAGGCTGTTTACTGGGGTGGGTGGTAAGTGCGGGGCTGATGGAGGCTCAGGGCATAGGGCTGAAGGACCGAGGTTGGGACAAATGACCAAAGTGTGGCCAGTTTCCCGACTTGCCCTGTGGTGGACGGGCAAGGTGAGGGGGCCAGCGCAGGGTCCCGGGCCCCGCTCCTGCCCTGGCCTCCCTCTCCTTCCATTCAGTCCCATCTGAGCCCAGGCCAACCCGGCCATCATGGGGCAGGGGGAGGTACTCTGCCGTGGCCATCACTTTCCCTCGCAGGTTGCCTTTTTAGGGGTTGGAGCAGCTGCTCCCCCCATGGGGTGGGGCAGTTTCCTAAGCCATGTTTGGGTGGGTGTCTGGGGGTTCTGAGGGCTGGAGGCTGAGGCTGGCAGCCAGCCTGGAGTGGGGTTGGGAAGGGAGGAGCGTGGACTGTTCTGGCCGGTGACCCTGCCAGCCCCTCCTCATGCTGACCCCTGGCCTGTGTGGGCCCCTGGCCAGTGCCTCATCCTTGGTCTTCTGCTCTCTGGCTCCAGGGTGTCCTCTGGAGGGCCCGCAGGGCTTGTTCCTCAGGCTCTCCCTGGCTGGGAGCGGGTGGCAGAAACCGGAGGAGAGAGGGTGGGCCAGGGGCCGGTTGCCGCCGGGTAGCACCTGGGCTGCTCCCTGCATTCTCCTGTCCGGCTGCTCCCGCTCCCTCATTGCTGCTGCTTCTGCAAGCCCGTGACGCTGTTTCCCTGCCCCTCTCTCTGGGTGGTGGGTGAGTGGACGCAGGAGAGCTCCTCCAGGAGCTCGAGCTCCCTTGTCCTCCTGCCTCCCCGGACTCGCCCGCTGGGGCTCCAGGAGGAGCTGTGAAGAGGGGCAGGGGCAGGGCTGGGCCAGACTGGGGGGTGGGGGGGGTGCTAGCAACAGCTGGCCAGCTCCAGAGTTTTCTTCTGCGGGGAGGGCTGCTCCCAGTTCTGACTCTCTGCTGCCTGTTCCCCGTATCTGGGCCCACCCACCCTTCTGGGAAGGGGGAGCACCTGAGAAGCACAAATGAGGGGCTTGGCCTTTGGGTCTGGGCCGATGGCCTGGGCACAGGCTGGGATAGGGGCCGCAAGAGTCACAGAAATAGTTTCCTAGGAGAGGCTCAGCGCCTGCCTCCCCTGCCGGGCCCATACCACCGCCTTCTTGGCTCCTCCTTCCCTGTGCCCCCCGGGGCCCCCCCAGCCCTGGCACCTTCATTGCTGTTCAGATTAAAGCCTCTGTTTTGCACCTGTCAATCTGTGTGAGGTGTGTCTTTTCAAGCCACGTGCTTGTTCTCTCCATACGGCAGTCTGTCCCCCCTTGAAGTCCCCTTCCCTCGGGCCAAGGAGTCTAGGGCTTGAGCTGTTTCAGCTGGGGTCTGGGGGGCCTGAGCAGGCTGAAAGCTGAGCCCTGTGTTCAAATCCTGGTTGTTGCCATGCCCAGCTACAAGGTCTTAGGTAAATTACTGATTCTTTCTGATCCTCAGCTTCCTCATCTATAAAAAGGGGATACTCACAGGGTGATTGCGAGGAGCCAGTGCGGGGTGTGAGATTCTCAGCACAAGGCCTGGCCTGCAGCAAACGCTCTGCGGTCACTGTGGCTGTTCCTGAGTCCCTGGGTCAGCCCTGAACTGGCCTGAGCAGTCATTGGACTGGGCCTGACTGTGAACCGGGTCCCTGCAGTTTTTAAGGGGGTACCCCTGTGCTGTCTCCACTCCTCATGTCCATGTTCTGCTGGAGTTGGGAGTCTGGGTTGGGCTGCTGTGCCCTAGACTTGGCTTCTGTCTTCAGACGAACCCTCCTTCGAAAACAAGAGCCCTTGGCCTTTGGCCCAGCCTCGGTGGGGGAGGCCTCGCACAGGGCAAGGAGAGCCTGGTGGCCAAGAGCCCTGCCTTTGGAGTCAGACTGATGTGAGTTCAACCCAAAGCCTGCGCCACTTGGTGGCTTGGAGACCCTGATAGTTGACTTCATGTCTGAGCCACTGATCAGAAAAATGAGCAAAGTAATACTTAGGTCATGGATTCTGGGATTCATTCATTTCACAGTTAGTGGCTGTACACTCCTCATTCTAATGTTGATGACAGTAAATCCAAAAATACCAAGATGTCAGGTGGTGGTGTGTTACTATAAAGAAGAAAAGGAAAGCAGTTAACTAGAGAGGGTCAGCGAGGGGGGCAGTTTACTTGAGCTACCAGGGTCAGGAATGACCTGAGCTGAGACCCCAAAGAGGAGAAGGGTCTGCTGGCAAAGGCAGGGGAGCAGCAGAGGTGGCGGAGCCCGTATGGGGAGGGGTGGAGGGAGGGGAGGGGGAGGAGGCCGGCTGGGGGTCTGCAGTGGGGCAGTACTTGTGAGCTCTGTCAGTGTTTGGAGTCAGGGGCGGGCTCGGAGTAGTCTGGGAAGCTGTGGAGGGTCTTGCACCTGGAAAGGGCCTGGGGTATGGGTGGAGGTGACCCAGTCTGTGAGGCTGGTGGCCTGGATTAGGGTTCAGGGTGGAGGTGGTAAGTGGTCTGGTTTAGGCTGTGTTCAGAGTATCACCAACAGGAAGAGGGTGCAAGGAGGAAAACAGGAGCCAAGAAGACCCCCACTTCCTGGGATTTGCAGCTTGATGCCACTTCCTCAGGTCAGGGCAGAGCGAAGTGAGGATCTGCTGTTGGAGGTGGCAGAGGCTGTCAGGTGCCAGGAAGAGGTGTGGGCAGGCAGCTGGGCTGCTGGAGCCGATCAGGGCGGGGTCAGCAAGTGATGGGTCCCAGGCTCCCGGCTCACTGGGAGCCGGAGATGAAAGAGAGAAGGGGCTGACCCTGGGCAGACTTGGAGGGGAGCTGCGGCAGACCTCAAGGTCAAGGCCCTGGAGGAGGCGGTGACCTGCTGGACATGTGACTTAAGGTCAGAGAAGGGGCTGTCCTTACCAAGGGCTGCTCCAGCTGAGGGGGTGGGGAGAGCGCGGGCTGGGGGGCAGGGAGGGGCCACAGAACGCACTCGTGCAAGTGGGCCAGATGCTCACAATGAGGCTTGATGGGCTCGTGGAAGTCCGGAGTGCCCCCTCCCCCGCAAGTCCCCCAGTCCAGAAGGAAGAGTGTGCAGCAGGGCCTCACGCTTGAGAGCTTACCTCCCCTTTTGTGTTGAGAAGTGAGCAGAGACTGGGTGGGTGTGTGGGTGGGCGGGGGCTTGAGATCAGGGAAGGCTTTGGGGTGGGGGACGTTCAGGCCAGCTTGCAGGCTACCGTGTCCGTGTCCACTGTATGCTGGGAATGACCCAGGAGAGGCGAGAAGGTGGCGATGCTGGTGGGAGAGGCCAAGTGATGGGAGCGGGCCTTGGAGGAGGCGCCGTGCTGCCTGTCCTTTCTGACAGAGGGGCATCCATTGGACGGATCTTATGGGAATTACTTCTGGCTTGGAGATGTGAGGCAAGGCCATCAATTGCCCCTGGGGTGGGGAAAGGCAGGATGTGGGCCAGGACTTGGGGCCGGGTGGGAAGTCCAACAGGACCAGGAAGAGGGAACCTGGCGAGGGTCTGTGCCTCCCACCCACTCGGTGCTCAGTGAAGGATGGACCGCTGTCACTGGGTCCCGGGGAATCTGAGAGCTGGCCGCAAAGCTGGAGGGGAGTGGGTGTTGGCTTCCCACTGCCCTGCACCAGCGGGGCCCCAGAGCACAGGGTGAACCCAGCTCTGCTCGTTTCTGGCTCGAAAGGGCCAAGGCTGGAGCCACGCTCAGGGGACGTGAGAGCAAAGAGGTTTTTTTCTAGGAGGAAAAGCCCAGGCAGGAGTTCTCCTAGGAGGAGAACAAAGGTGAGGGTTTTCTTGTACCCAAGTCCGGCGACATGTTTTTTCTGAATCCAAAAATTACTAAGTTTATGCATACTCCATCCAAGGCATTTGGGGGAATGCAGAGATGAAAAGGTGAGTGTCCAGCTTTCAAGAAACTTCTGAATGGGAGGAATAAGAGCTAGTGGAGGGACTTCCCTGGTGGTCCAGTAGTTAAGAATCTGCCTTACAACGTGGGGGACTTGGATTCAATTCCTGGTTGGGAACTAAGATCTCCCATGCCTGGGGCAACTAAATCCACCTGTGCAGGCACGGGCAGCAACCAGAAGACCAGACACTGCAGCAAAAGATCCCACAAGCCGTGACTTAAGACCCCATGCATCCAAAAAAAAAAAAAAAACCCATATATAAAAAAAAAAAAAAAAAAAAAAACTATGGGTGGATAAAGAGCTACGTGTGAAAAATAAAAGTTTAAATTTTTTTAGAAGAAAATAGACTGTTTCTACATTTCCAAGCTAGAGAAGAATTTAATAATAACTGTACCCCTAAAAAGCACAAAACCTAAAGGGAAATACAGATAAATTTGACTTTATAAAAACTTTAAACTTTTGCACATGAAGAAACACCACAAAGTAAAAAGTCAAAGTCATACACAGGGAGAAGGTATGAGCAAAATTAACCCAAAACAAAAAAAAAAAACCCATATATATATATATATATATATGTTAAAATAGCTAGTGGACCAGCTGTAGAGGAAGGGGGATAAAGGACTCCAGGGGAGCTCAAGGATGGCTCTGGGGAGGTGGTGATGTTTCAGCCAGGCCTTGAACGTGAGCATGCACAGACGGAGGGCATTCTGGTGGGGCCCTGCTGTGCGCTGAGGTGTGGCAATTGGGCAGTGCTGGAAAGGCAGGTGGGGGAGGCCCCTGGGGGCTCCGAGTCACCTCTGCGAGGCTCCCAAAGCCCTGTATACATCCTCAAGATGCGCAACACCACTGCGTTTAATTATCTGTGAGATGTATGGTTACTGTCTGTTTTCTCCACTAGAAGACGAGCCACAGGATGACAGGGACCAGCTTGGGCTGGATCCCAGTGCCGGCGAAGACTAGCACATGGTAGGTAGTGGTAAACCCCGGAGCAGTGACCACAGAGGGGGTGTAGTGGGCACCTGTGTGTGTGTGGAGATGGAGAGAAAGAAACCTATGACCCCGATTGCCCGCCTGGGATTTGGGAAATGGGGGGCAGCTGTCCACGTGCAGGGTTGGAAGCTGGCTCTGGTGCCAGGGCTGGGGGGTGGTGAAGGAGACCCACCTGTGAAGGCCGGAGAGACGCCCTGGGCTGGGAGGGGAAGGTTGGGGTGGGATTTGGTGCCAAGGGAGAAGGTGGGGTTCTTGAGGACCCTGGACACACCCAGGGGAGGGAGCAGGACTGGGTCATAGCTGCAGAGTTTGGGGAGCTCTGTGGGGTAGACCTGCTGGACCTGGCTGATGGGGAAGCTGGCGGGGCTGCTGAGACCCTGTCCCCAGTGGGGAGAGGAGTCAGGCTGCAGGGTTTTCCAGGTTCCCCCGCCACGCACCCTGCCCCCCTGCCCTGCCTGTGCTCCAGCCTCAGGCTCCCTTCCCACCCCGTCTCTCTGGGTATCAGCGACCCTGGCCTCCTCTCAGCTTCTCAGACTCTCGGGGCCACTGAATAATTAGGGTTCAGCTCCTTCCCCAGAACTCTTTCCCCCGCTGGGAGCCCCTGGCCCTTCTTCAGGGCTCAGCTGAGGCCTCACCCTCACTTCCTCTGAGATCCTCGCCTCGCCCCCCACCCCCCGACCAGGCAGGTGTCCTGGGTGTGCTTGTGTGACCGTCCACCTGTCCCTGCTCTGAGCGCTCTGCACACCTGGCTGCCTGTGTCTGTGCAGCTGCTCCAGGGTCTTTGAGGGGACTTGGGGGGGCAGCCACCTAGTTGGAAGTTGGGCTGGTAGGGGGCTGTTTGCTTTGCAGACACAGCTTCTCTACTTGGTGTTCCTTGGGGTTCCTGAGGCCCACCCCCTTAGCTCAGGGCTCATCATCCCTCCCTGCTCCTTGCCATGGGTCTGGTCCCCCACCATCCCTAGGAGGGTGCTGGACAGCGCAGACACTGGAGGCACAGAAGTGGGCCAGATCGCCCAGGAGAATCGGGAGGGAGGAGAGGAAGCTGGGCACCCAGCCCGCAGGCAGGGAGACACTGCTGAGGTGGAGGGGGTCCTGAAGCCAGCCGGCCAGCGCTGGAGCTGGGGTATGCGAGGGACCTCAGAGAGCAGTTCCAAGGCACAAAGACCAAGACAGAAGTGCAGTGGGCGACCCTGGGGAACCTGAGTGCCCCCGCAGGCCGAGCACCAGAGTCACGGGTAGAGGGGAGCTGGAGGGCTAGCTTGTGTTGGTTCATTCATCCAGCAAACATCGCCCGCTTGGCTCCAAGACCTGTGCCGAGTGCTGGGGTGCTACAGTGAACAAGACAGACAGCTCCCCTCAACCCCTCCTCACCTTCCACCACTCCTCCGAGAGCCTGTTCTAGCATGACTTCTCCTAATGGAACACTGGACATATCCTGGGTGTCCAGCAGTGGGGGATTGTTAGAGGCTGGATGAGCAACCATACAGCGGGCCATCAGACGATGCCTTTTCATGTATTCTTCTAGAGAGATGCTTCCGACCTGTTGTGAAGCAGGGAAGGTAGCTAAAACGACTGCTTGTTTGCTGTTTAGCTGCTAACTCATGTCTAACTCTTAGCGACCCCATGGACAGTAGCCGCCCCCGCCCAGGCTCCTCTGTCCATGGGATTTCCCAGGCAAGAATACTGGAGTGGGTTACCATTTCCATCTCCAGGGGATCTTCCCAACCCAGGGATTGAAACTGCATCTCCTGCATTGGCAGGTAGATTCTTTACCGCTGGAGGAAAGTACAACCCCTTTTTGTAAAAAAGAGAAAAATCTATATTTTTGATCAGTCTGTCCCTCTGTTTGTCCATGTACATGGACTAAGGACCAGAAGGCTGTTTCTCTGGATAGTAATGTGCTTATTGCTGAGTGGTGGGGGTGTGAGGATTTTGGGAAACTGCGTCACTATTTCTGCCTCCAAAAGATGGTTATGAAAGTGTTAAACATCATTACTGAACTCACAAAAAGAAAAAAACAAACGATTATGGGGAACTTTTGACTTTGCTTTTTGTTGTTCCTATTTTATTTTTAAATCTTTCTATAATGTCCACAGGCATTTCTATAATATCCAAAGGCATGGGCTTCCCAGGTAGCACAGTGATAAAGAATCTGTCTGCAAATGCAGGAGATGCAAGAGGTATGGGTTCAATCCCTGGGTCGGGAAGATCCCCCTTGGGGTAGGAAATGGCAACTTAGTCCAGTATTCTTGCCTGGAAAATCTCATGTACAGACTACAGTCCATGGGGTCACAAAGAGTCGGACATGACTGAGTGCACACAAACACACACACACACACACACACACACACACACACGCATAATATCCACATGTCATTTTTTAGAATTAAAAAAACTTTCCCCCTAAAGAGCATTGGAGTCTGGTGTACTTCTGACAGCAAGGTAGGTGGGAGAGAGGTGGGGAGGGAAGACTTGCTCAGATCTGTCAGGAGAAAAGAGGTATGTTCTAGCAGAGTCTCTCTGAGAGGGAGGCAGGCAGGTGGGCTGGAGGCTTCCAGGAGTAGTGTACTGGGGGACTAAGTCTTTTCAGTCATGTCTGACTCTCTGTGACCCCATGGACTCTAGCCCGTCAAGGACCAGTAACGAGAACTCCTGCAGGCTGGGCCAGCCGGGGAGGCAGCTGGGATTCCTCCTGGAGCCTTTGGGCGGGGGGGGAGTTGAGGGGAGCTTGTGGCCCCCTGGTTGGCACCTGCAGGATGACAGCAAACAAAGGCTGGGTATAGAAACTAATGCTAGAGTCAAGTGTACTTTCCCCTGCCTGCGACCTGCGTTAGGGGTGGCAGTGGTGGCAGTTACAAACCAAGGGACCAGTGGGATGAATGGTTCCATTCTTCCCAGAGCTTTCAATACTGTGGAGGCTGGTTTTCCAAGTCCCAGCAAAGGTGCAGAGCCTCAAGGCAGCACCCTCCACTGAGCAGGGGACGTTGAGGGCCCCATGCCCAACACCAGGTATGTTGGGGACAGCACCAGGGCTCTTAGGGCGTGTGATGGTGGGAAGGACCCGGGAACCAAGCAAGCCTGTGTGACCTTGAATAAGGGTCTTCAATGCTCTGAACCTCTGTTTTCCTACGTGTGCGTGTGGATGGCAGTCCAGAGCCCCGAGGCTGGGGTGGCATTCACAGCGCCCAGCACGTAGTCAACTCCCCACGAGCAGAAAGAAGCAGGGGGCTTCATCCCCTCCCGCTGGGCAGTGGGCTGTGTCCCGGGCTGGTCTCTGTCTGCTGTTCCTGGGCTTCTGCAGCTGGATTTTTGCTGACCTCTATCTACATAGACTTCCTGGCCTGCTGGTCCTTTTCCCCTCCTTATATGCTTGGGACTATACTGGAGCTTCCCTGGTGGGTTCAGTCGGTAAAGAATTCACATGCAATGCAGGAGACCCGGGTTCAATCCCTGTGTCAGGAAGATATCCCTGGAGAAGGGAATGGCGACCCACTCCAGTGTTCTTTCCTGGAGAATCCCATGGACAGAGGAGCCTGGCGGGCTATGGTCCATGGGGTTGCAAACAGTTGGACACGACTGAGCGCGCATTCACAGCACGTGGACGTTCTAACCCTTGAGCTCCAGTGTAGCTTTTAGTTTCTCATGGATGTTTCAGGATGATACAAGAGGGCCTGTGGTGGGTGATGGGAGTGTAGAGGATGGGAGGGGGGCAGGGAGGCTTCCCTGCAGGCTGGTCAAGGCCCCCTAGCAGCGAGAACCCCCGGGGAGGCTCTGAAGTGTGGCTTGGGCCTGGTGGTCCCACTGCTGACTGCCGACCCCGGACCTGACCTCCAGCCTGGATCACACTGGCCTGGTGAGTCCTCCTAGCTGAACAATCTCCTTTAGGGGCTGTTCCCACCCCACTCCATACACATTCCTGCACCCCCCCACCCCCACAGAGCTTATCCTCATTTGCCACTGCTGCTCCAGGCCCCAGGAGCCACATGCACCCTAACCCCTGCCGGTGTCCTCTGAGGGACCTCAGTGCTGGTGGCTCCTGAGCCTGGCCTGTGTGTCTGACCCTGGGTGAAGTGCCTGAAAGCATGTCTTACCTCAGCCTCACTATGGGCCAACTATGTACCCATTTCTTGGAGGAGTAAATCAAGGCCCAAGCGGGTCAAGGTGCTGGCTGGATGGGGGCAGTGCTGAGTCTCTCTTTCCTGTCAAAGTTCCTGCTCCAGGAGCCTCTCCTGGACTGAGGTCTCAGGGTGGCCCTGGCTGCCTTGTGCTACGCTCACTCAGTTGGCCTGAGAGCCCCCTCCTCTTCCTGCTTTAGAGCTCGTCTCTCCAGGGTCCTGTCTGAGAGGCACCTTCTCCCAGAACCCTGCTTCCTTCTGGGAGGCAGGGCTGGTCCACACAAAGACAACGAAGAGGTGGATAGCAAGGCCGGTAATGACAGTGCTGGCCGGCAGCCACGTGTCATCTTGCAAGATGTGCTTACATGTGCCTTCACGGAGCCCCCTCAGCGATCCCGGAAACTGGCATCACTTTCACATTTTAGGGATGATGAAATGGGCTTGGAGGATTTAGGTTGCGGCGCAAGGCCTCTGGCTCCTCCTGTGGAATTGGAGGGGAAGTGGGCTTGTATGATGCGGGTCCTGTGTTGGTGAGCAGGACGAGACACTTCAGCTGGGCAAGAGGAGGATTCTCTACAGCCCTGGAAACTGCTGGTGGCTGGTGGCTCCTGCTTCTCCCCCAGGCCCACGCAGCCTGTCTCTGTGGACAGCACCACCCATCTGATCCCCAATCCAGGCATTAGCCTGTCTTTCTTCCATTCCCCAAATCCAACCCATGAGCAGGTCCAATGGGGTCCATCCAAGTGAAAGTGAAAGTGTTATTTGTTCAGTTGTGTCCAATTCTTTGTGACCCCATGGACTATATAGCCCACCAGGCTCCTCTGTCCATGGGATTCTCCAGGCAAGAATACTGGAGTGGGTAGCCATTCCCTTCTC